AGTTGAGTGCCAGCCTTGGCGTTTTTTGGATTGTAGACATCACTTGAGGCAGTCTCAGTCCACACAGGCACCGTCTTCTCCTCCTCATGAGGATGTCACCTGTAGTGGATACAGGCCCACCTTTATCTCCAGGATGGTTTCCTCCTCATTCTACATCTGATGACCATATTACAGGAAGTAAGGTCCCAGTGGGAAGTACCGGAGAGGGGAGTTAGGGCTTCAAGATATTATTGGAGGACATCATTCAACCAGAGACAGGAAAGTTAAACCAGGTTCACACAGTCACTCTCCGAGGGTTTCGCCCCCTACCAGGGAGAAAGGTCGTTTTCGTAAGTCATCCTCAGGAAGCCCGTTCACAGGGTCACAGCCCCACCTGTGGATCCAGAGCGGGGGCGCCCCCACCTCTGCTCCTTCCAGGCCTCCCTGTCTTCCAGAATCAGCTGTCTGGGAACCTGCTGAGGAAATTCAAAAACAGCAACGGGTGGCAGAAGCTGTGGGTGGTCTTCACGAACTTCTGCCTCTTCTTCTACAAATCACACCAGGTAGGTGGCTGGGGTGGGTGCTGAAGGGCCCTCCCCCAGCTCCCTCTGTTCTTGGGAGATGGGCAGCTTTCCTCTGGAAGGATGTAGAACTTGAGCCACCCAGCCAGGCCATGCAAAGGCACAGCCATCAGAGACCCCTCAGGTCCAAGTGGAGGCTGGCGTTTGCCTATTTGCTGAAGGCTGGCTTCCACCTTGAAAAGGGCCATCTGTCTGCGGGCTGGACGAGGGAGGGAGGATGGCTCTCACAGGGGGCCGACACGCTGGTGTCCAGCTAATCCATCCAGGCTAGGACCTCTCAGCTAAGACTGACCGCGGTGGGGTGAGAGCTGCAGGCTCCACGCCTGCAGCCGCCTCACCCCCTCTGCTCTGTGCCCTCTCTCCAGGACAATCACCCCCTTGCCAGCCTGCCTCTGCTCGGCTACTCACTCACCATCCCCTCAGAGGCCGAGGACATCCACAAAGACTACGTGTTCAAGCTGCATTTCAAGTCCCACGTGTACTACTTCAGGGCCGAGAGCGAGTACACGTTCGAGAGGTAAGTGTGCCCTGGCACCTGCGGAGAAAGGGCGCTCTCCTCTGAGCCGTGGGCTGCCTCCCAAGCGAGTGAGCAGAGGCCATCCTGGCAGCAGCTCCCTGCAGCCTGGACGTCTGCTTCCTTCCAGAATGGGCCTGTCGTTCTAACCCTGCCGCTTGCTTAAAATGGAAGGATCCACCTGTTTTCCTGGGATATCAGCCCTTAACCTGGACGCTAGTTCCCACACTAGGCATGGCACACTTTTTGATCTCGAACTTGTGTTTTTCACTTGACGGCTGCAGTAGCTTAGTCCTATAGCCTAAAGGCTAAGTTTCAGGTCAAAAGACAACACGAGGAAGGAAAAATAATAAATTCCAGTGCCTCTGAGAGTTACCTGATCAATGAGACTGGCTCCATGGTATAGAGATCCAGGGGCTGTGGTCTTCCTTTTAGCCAAGAGATAGAACTAAAGGAGCCAGTCTAGCTCATTTGCCCACATTCAAGTACAAGTTCTGGGTCTTACATTGTGGGGCAGGCTGTGAAAGTAGTCGTCAGTGCTGAACCACCCCTATTAGGGGCAAGTTTCTCTCCTGGCCCCACTGCCACGAGCCCTGGTGAAGTTAGCTTGCTGCAAAGAGCACAGAGGTTTAAAACCAGGATTGAAGGTGCCAGAGACATCCCAGAACAGTGGCCCCTAAGCCACACTGCCTAAAAGTGAGCCCGGGGGTCAGCAGTCCTCAAATGTGATTCTGGGTTGGGAAACTGAGATGCTGTTGCTGCTATGGCAAGGGTAATGTAGCCTGGCAGCAGTAGAAGCGTGGGATTAGGGAATGTCTTCCATGGTGGCTCAGCTGGTAAAGCGTCTGCCTGCAATGCAGGAGACCCAGGTTCGATCCCTGGGTGGGGAAGATCATGGAGAAGGGAATGGCTACCCACTCCAGTACTCCTGCCTGGAAAATCCCGTGGATAGAGGAGCCCGGTAGGCTCCATGGAGTCGCAGAGTTGGACACGACTCAGCGACTTCGCTTTCTTTTTCTTAAGCCCTCTAAGCTCCACAGAGGCAGGAAGCTGGGCTCACTGCCCTGAGTTTTCCCCATCGGGCACTGCTGACGTTTCAGACCAGAGGAGGCTTTGTTGTTTGGGGGGGATGGGTGTGCTGAGCAGCGGCCCCTCCTCAACCCACTGGTTATACTGCAAATACGTGAATGTAGGAATTCCCAATAAGCAGGATGAGGCCCCACCCATTGTCCTGAGGAGGAATGGGCGCTGTAGCCCCACCTCGGGCATTTCTACAGGGTGAGTGTACCCAGGTCAGTGGTTCTCAAAGTGGGTTCCTCAGGAGGAACCCTTAGTGCCTCCCCCGCCTTGATTTATCTGGGAGCTAGGAGTTCATTTACAATCTCTTCTGCTAAAATAATTATCCAGCAGGCAGTGTTGGGTCAGACTGTGTGGCTTTGTAACAACTACCAACGATCAGGAGCTGTAACAAAGCAAGCACCTTTCAGAGCCACGGGTTTATAAGAAGCAGGCCCTGACAGTTATTTCTCTTTCTTCTCCCAGATGGATGGAGGTGATCCGAAGTGCCACCAGCTCGGCCTCACGTGCCCACGCCCTGAGTCACAAGGAATCTCACGTGTATTGATGGCGGGGACACACGTGTGGATTGCTTCAGCCGTGGTGACTCTCGGAAGGCATTCTCTCTCTCCTGTATTAATGAAGCCTAGTAAAATTAACACCTGTCTGGAAAACAAACCAAAAAACACATGGTTTTGCAGCAACTCTCACCTGTCCCCACAGGACCATTTTTAAACCTTGTCTTTTCGGCTGGTAATCTCGCATCTGCACGGGCTGCACCCCGCCACCTCCGGTGCGGGCGGCGTTCTGGCCGTCGTCCCCTCGGTGGCCTCTCTCCAGCTCGTGCCAGTATTAAAACACTGTCATGGAGATGGTGCCAAATGACATTTTTTTCCTCCACGGCTGCACCTTAAAGCAGTACCAACACATCTGTTCAACCAAAAGACAGGGCAAACGTTTTGTTTTTTTCTTAAAACTCGGGGGGGTTTTTGATTTCTAGGCTGCTGCATTTTACAAAATGGATTTTCCAGTGTTTGCAATACACATGGCACAGTCTTAGTAAGCAAATGAAATCATTTTCAGATTTGGGTCCTCCCCCACCCCAGTCTTTCTACTTTTATAATGATAGGACACTAGTAGGATTTTACTTCTTTGATAAAACGAGCAATTTGCAGCATCCTTGTATCCCACTGGGGGCTTCGGGCTCCAGGGAAACGCTGGTTCCCAGACCTACTTCTTGGCGTAGGTTGACCAAATTGTTGAAGTGATGATGGCTATTTACGAGGTGTGGCGGGTTGTTCTCTGTTGAGAGAAGCTCTCTGGACTGTCGAGTGTACCGAGTGCTGTGTTGATGGGAGGGTAGTAAGCCGTGGTGTTTCGCTGTTTCACAAGCATGAGAACGTGTTATGTCAGTGGCCAGGGCCATCTGTGCTGTGTTGGGGCGTGTCTGCGCTTCCTGTGGGTGTGGGGGCCCCGGGTCGTGGTGCGTAGTCCCCCACAATCATACCTGTATCCTCCTGCAACTGTGGTTTGGAACTGCACACTCAATAGTAGTATATATATATATCGTGCCTGTCTTCACAAACCATTCTTTCCTCCTTTTTGTACTCACCACCCCCAGGCCTGGGGTATGGACGGACATGTGACATTGCACATCCTTGATAGTCGGACGACACAGGGAACAGGGTTCCAGTGACCGCTGGGGCCACCAGTCAGAATCCGTTTGCCTATCTCCGTGGGGAATCAGGTGGCTGCTATTCCCTTGATACTGTTGAGCCCCTGTGGGGGGGCGACCCATCCACCCACGGTTCCCTTCCAGCACCCCACACTGCCGTGGGGGGGCCCTCACCTAAGACACCAACGGGATGAGCCCGACTGGGGGGGCTGTGACTGGCGTACGTGGAAACACACAAATGGAGGAGGAACTTGAGATGTGTGAATCACTTGCCTTACAATCTGTACAGATGGTTTTAAGTACTAACAAAAGGGAATAAAAAAAAAAAAATACCTCACGCCACAATCCAGCACACTCAAGTTTTAAGGCAAACCAACCAACCTTGTCTCGTGTCTTTTAACTGCCTCTCGGGCTGGTGGGTTGGGGAGGCAGCTGGTCACAGGGAGCGGGGATGAAGGGGTGAAGACAACCACTTGCGAAGACAGCGTATTTGGAGAAACTTGGAATCTGGTAAGTTTCATCTGCTTCTCCCAACTTGGGAAGCAGAATATTTCCAAGAGACCTGTCAGAGGCTCTGGAAGACTTAGGGCTGAGGGTGAGATGGGGGGACCAGTACCCGTTTGACCCCAGTCCCCAAACAGCTGCGATGGAGTCAGCAAGCATCTCCAGAAGCCTACCCAGTCACTCACCTCTGCAAGGCTTGGGGAGGAGAAGTCTTCTAGGTCAGTCTTCTGTTCACACCTACCTGTGTCCCTCTGTGATGTCAAAGAGAACCCAAGTCCAGATCACGGGGGTGACTCAGACCACCCCCGAGCTGCTGGAAACACGAAGCGTCAGGGACACCCTCCACCTCAGCCCATTCAGGCTGCTGTCAACAAACATACCATCGATGGGGTGGCGTATAAAACACATTTCTTAAAAAACAAGCAGGAAAACCAAGATCTGTCTTAACAGTTTGGAGGCTGGAAGGACAAGGTCCTGGTGGATTGGGTGTCTGGTGGGGGCCGTCTCCCTGGGTGGTGGAAGGGGTGACAGACCGCTGGGGTGGGTGCTGACCTCAGTCCTGAGGGCTCCACCTGCATCACTTGTCTCCCACGGCCCCCACCGCCTCACACATGTAAACCTGGGGTTGGGGGGGCCCACAACACAAACATTGTCTATACCCTCTGCACACAAGACACAATTCCAAAAACAGTTTGTTTCTGTGAACTTTATTGACCCTCGCACGATACAAGCCCTGTGCTTAAGAACACGCCTTGCAGCAGCACTCCCCCGTTATTGCCATTATTTTATAGCAGAAATACAGAAGCCATGTTTTTTTAAGGAAGGAAAAATATAAAAATGCTTATAAATAGACCGCATGTTTTGCCAAAAGGAAGGTACAAAATGCCGCATAAAGAACCCAACGAAACGCTTCAAAAGACCCGTTGAACAAAACCGTCAGACTGGGAAGGTGGGTGGCACTTGGTTACAGCGAGATGACCCCAAGGCCCCCAGACCACGATGGTGCAGCCCGCACAGAAGACACAACTTTGCAAAGTGTAAGCCACCAGCCACGATTGGCCCACCGCCTCCACTTCCAAAAGGCCGGCTGTGCTTCCGTGTGGGCACCCCTGCCATCTGCAGTGTGTGTGGGTGGACAGGCCGCTGACCGCTGGGGGTCACCAGCCAGACGCTCCGGTGTGGTGGTCATGCACAGGTGCTGAGCTCACGGGTCTGGCTGACCACCACCTGCCGTTCACAGGCCCGAGGGGGTCCTGCTGGAGCTCTGATCCCTGGTCTTTTAACAAACAACCTGACATGGACCAACGCTAGCCCCCCTTGACTCAACAAGACACTCTGCCTACAGAAAGCAAAGAGGGGAAGTGAACCCACTTTCCAAAGCCGGTCAAAACATGGCTTCCCCACACCCTGAGAAGCCCATCAACAGAAGACATTTCCAACCAAACCCCAGAGCAGTTGGCCTTTTGACCTGGGAGATGTGCGTTGCTGTCCACCAGTGACTGCTAACTGGTTGTCTGCTAACCGGTCACACCACCTTGCCAAGCCCCATCTACCCGGTCAGCGTCACCATCACTCACATCAGTGTCTGGTCTTGAAACCACTGTCTGTATGCGGGTCTGAAGAACCCGAGGTCAGAAAGCTGCTGTGACGGGGCTCTCGAGATAGCTGAGCGGCACACCCCTGGGGGAACACGGCTCTGTCCTCTGATGCTTCTCTCCAGCCGCAGACGAAACTCAACTGTGGCTTATGCCTCACGTGGGGGAAGAGACAGACCCCTCATAACACTCTCCAAAACACAAAACGAAATACTCTCAATTCTTCCAGTTTAACATATTTGCACAAGGACGATTCGCAATTTGGTTCTATGTCTCCTAACCAAAATGTATCCTTTACGGAAATTAACAACCCAAATCTACTTTTAATTTAACAAATCACGACAATTTTAGAGTTTTAGAAACTAGCTCCGTTCCACTACCAAATGAACAAGAAGCACCCCTCAGCGGCCTCTCCCGGTGACTTCCAGGCCACTGGGCCTGCAGATAACTGACCTGTCCTCAAGTTTACCCAGTAACTTCCCTCCTTCCAAAAAGCCTTGGATTCCACGTCAAGAACTGCTACTCCAGCAAGAGTGGACTATGACTCCTATCAACAAATACACAAGAATGTCACACGTAACTCAGACCGGTCAAGAATCACAGCAAGAACTCAACTTTCCGCCCCAGAGACCCCTGCCACAGGCTGAGAAAGTACAGAAACACCTGGCTAACCAACTGGTGGACATCCACTCCTTTAAGGAAGGAAGCAAATGACTCGGAAGACGGAACAGTTTTACCAGCCAGCAGTAGTCACGCATCTCTTCAGGGGACCGTTTTTAAAAGTTGCATAGGGAGCTGACCTGGACGTTTCTGCAGCTTGAACATGGGCACTTCTTCCTGGAGCCTCATGAGTGCACGCACGTGCGCACGCACACCGCGCACACACACACACCCCCCCACACACACATGGCAGGCACACTGCCCCCTCTTAAAGAGTCACGTTCCAAGGAGAGTATGCAAAAATCCTGTTATAAAATTTATTTGTGAAAGCATTCAGACATGAGGTTTCGAAAGATGATACGCAGGTTTCACTACAAGGTGCAACAGAAAACCCTACTGGGAGGACGGGCCGGCTGGCGCGGGACACGGGCCGGGCACGACTCCAGTGAAAGTGAGACGAGGACGCTTCATCGGGGAGAAACTTGAAATAATAATTTAAAGCTTCATGAGGCGCGATATGTTTCCATTTAAAACACTAAGAAATAGTACCATCAATGAAAACAGGAAAATCAACTTCTAAGTGTACCGAAGGGGTCATAGGGCACGCAGGAGGAAAAAAAAAAATCCGCATTTGCTGAGGTACAAACAGAGGGAGTGTTCCCGAAGAGGGGCATTTAATTATTATTAATGGCAAACCCTGCAGATACAAAATAAAACCCAAATCACTGGTCACATAATTCAAAATTTACATGTAATAAAGGCAAGGCAATAGACTCAAGTTATGGCCTGTCAAATATTTACTCCACTGACGGTATCTACAGAAGCACTTGGCCGATGTGTACACAGTGATTCCTATGCACGCCAAAAGGGTTTTCCGTAAAAATGACGCTATTTACAAGTCTGTACACTGATCCACCAGAGCGATTTCTCCATCTCCTGGGGTGGGGGACGGGGAGGGGCGGGGTGCTTATCAATGTAAAGCAGGATACCTGAGGTTTCATTTCTTCAGTCGCCTTATCATAATCCCAGATATACATTTCAGGGTTTATTTTTGTTTTCAAAGACACTTTTCCTTGATATGTGCACTATGGTTAAAATTAAAAACGAGAATAATAAAATAATCGCTTGGAGGAGCTGGCCTTCCCCCACCCCATCCGTAGTCTATCAGGCCCCAGGCCAGCAGGGAAGGGCCATGGGGCCCTGGACAGGCGACCCTGCGGCGGGAACAGCCCCCCGATGGTGCGCCTCTTCAGCGGAGTCAGCAAAGGCTCTCGTTGAGTTTTGAAAAGGAAGAGGGTGAAGAAGGAAAAAAATAAAAGGAAAAACAAAACCCCAAATGCCAAAGGGATTTCAATGGGATGAAGTTCCTCCACCACTTAGAGAATATCTGGGAAGAGACAAAACAAGAAACAGCAGTAAGTCAATGTCATTTTCTCTAAATTAAAAAAAAATCTGCAAAACCAAGCAATGAACAAAGCCCTAGTTTTCATAGACAACCTCAAGTCGTAACAAATTAGTGGTACAAGCTATCAGTGAGCTAATTATAGTATAACATGAAGAATTCATAAAAATTATGAAAATCACAATTCCAACACTCAAAACTTCATAGATAATTAAAAAGTTAGAATGTGTTCAGCATCCCAGGAGAGAGGAAAAAAAGATACAAATAAAGCGGTACATGATATACCTTCACTTAAAATCACTTTTAAAAAATTGAAATACCAATAATACCCAGTGACACAGTAAGATCCCAAGGGCGCACATGCATGCCAATTTGTGTATCAGTGTAAGAAACCCTTTTTGGCCACAAAGATACTGATGGCTTGTTCGAGTAATCTGCTTCCTAAAACGGTCTCTTAGATTTTCAGTAATTACAATAATTAGGAAACTATTCTGATGTCCAACACAGAGAATGGTGAAGTAAAACCGAACTGAATGAAACTCATTACAAGTCATAGTAACATTTAAGCAACATGAAAAATACAGGTTAAGAAGTATACACAAAATTATACACGTCTTAGTTTTACACAATTTGTTCTACATAAAGACCAAATATTATGATCCAAAAACTTGGGTATGTTCACGGCTCGTATGCAGCAATGGAAAGCAATCCAACACCCCAGAACTCGTGGTGCTGGTGTAGACTCAACGGTGGGACAGCTACTCTCCCCCAGGAGTTCTGCAGCACGGTCGCACTTTGGAACACAAAGACGGGGGGAGGAGTTCCTTTCAGGACCAAGATTCCCTTAGCCGCCTCAAAACTGGGGCTGACCCAACCACAGGAGATGGCTGAGGATAAGCTTAATGGGACTCGCTGCAAACATTCCAAATTATATGTCCTCTTTTAAGAGCATTTAGGACATGTGACGCTTGCCCAGGGAACAAATGACTAGAAAATCACTGCAGATGGTGACTGCAGCCATGAAATTAAAAGATGCTTGCTCCTTGGAGGGAAAGCTATGACCAACCTAGACAGCATATTAAAAAGCAGAGACATTGCTTTGTCAACCAAGGTCTGTCTAGTCAAGGCTATGGTTTTTCCAGTAGTCATGTATGGATGTGAGAGTTGGACCATAAAGAAGGCTAAGTGCTGAAGAATTTATGCCTTTGAACTGTGGTGTTGGAGAAGACTCTTGAGAGTCCCTTGGACTGCAAGGAGATCCAACCAGTCCATCCTAAAGGAGATCAGTCCTGGGTGTTCATTGGAAGGACTGATGCTGAAGCTGAAGACCCAATACTCTGGCCACCTGATGCAAAGAACTGACTCATTGGAAAAGACCCTGATGCCGGGAAAGATTGAAGGCAGGAGGAGAAGGGGACGACAGAGGATGAGATGGTTGGATGGCATCACTGACTCAATGGACATGAGTTTGCGTAAACTCTGGGAGTTGGTGATGGACAGGGAAGCCTGGCGTGCTGCAGCCCATGGGGTCGCAAAGAGTCAGACACAACGGAGTGACTGAACTGAAGTCACTGGGGGACTGACGCTACACAAAAGGACCCACACATCATCTCAAAGTTAAACATACAGAAGCTTTTCAAAATGCGTCAGACCTCCTTGTTTCCTCGGTAACCCAACTGGAGGGACACAAAGGGGGTGAAACTGGGTCTGAGGCGTCAGCCACAACCAGGCCACTGTGGACGGCCGGCCTCTGGATGGGGGACAACACAGAGACAGCTGGGAGAGCCAGACAGGGACCCCAGGGAGCAAGGTCATCCAAGGGCTGGGGAAGAGCCCCACCTCAAAGGAGGAAAGAAGGGGACTTCCCTGCTGGTCCAGTGGTTAAGACTCCGTTCTCCCAACACAGGGGAGCTGAGGTCCCATCCCTGGTTAGGGAACCAGATCGCACATGCTGCAACCAGAAGCTCACAGACCACAGCTAAAGATCCTGTGACCAGAACAAAGACCCAGCACAGCCAAATAAATAAGGAAATATTAGGAGGAGGAGGACAAGAGAGAACTGGGGAGGATGGGAACAAAATGCTAACCGAATGCAAACGGCGGGCACTTAAACCCGTGTTATCCTGTGTTACGTACGGTCACACTCGACACTAATGCAGGCATCGAGATGCAGGGAGTTCCCAGTGACACGTGCCGTAAAGTGTGAAACACACTCCTGCTACTGAGACTCAGCCCTACAACAAGGGGAAAGACTATGCTGACTGCATGATGAAACAAGATTTCAGATGCAGTGCGTTAAGTAGTACACTATTAAAACCAATTTCACTTTTTTAAACTTTTTTTTTAATGTGGCTACTAAAAAATTTAAAGCCACACATGTGCCTCACACCATCTTTCTATTGAACAGAACTAGGACAGATCACCTGTGTCAGCAACTAGAGAAAGGGAACAGGCACAGGGATCAATGAAAGCCACAGAGGCCACACCCTCTGGGCCTGGAGCTGCGGGGAAACAGTCACACACAGGCGACGCTGGTAACAACCTCAGGCGGGTCAGGACAACGTGGAAAACATCAGTTCTAAGAGGGGCACCACAGACGCAGGAAACTAAAGACAACGCTGGTTTCTGGTTTGGTTCTGTTTGACTTGAACAATCTTTTTCAAGGGAAATAAATGCCAGTATGAAGTGGTACCAGAGAAATCAGAAAGATGGACCGTTATTAATTCAATAGGGCAAAGTCTATGAGACTCTGGATTACTATAGGATAAAACGTTCAATGATTTTAACAAAGCTATGTTAGAAATGCAACTGCGCACACACACAGTGGAGACACCAACTTGGCGAAGAACGGTGTCTGGGTGAGCATATGGGCGACTTTTTAATTCTGTTTTCCTCTATTTCTGTACTCTGTTAGTATCAAAAGTAGGGAGGGGGGAAAGTTACCCAAACACCACACTGGATTCCCTCAACTGCCTCACAATTGACGGAGGCCAAGTAAACAGTCTTCCCTCCAGCCTGAACATGAGAGCAGGTCAGGAAGTTGGAATGTTTTCACGAGGAAGCCAGAATCCCGGAGAACCAACCTGAAGGGCCAGCAGTGAGGTTTCTCTGATGCCGCCTCTGGGGGGGCTCAGGCAGCCCCCTCAGGACCACTTCCAAGTGGCAGAAGTGGCCCTCCACGCCCCAAACTTCACGCGCTATCCCGCCGACGTCTCAGGACAGATCTGAGACGCTCCTGATCCCCACGGAGGCCCGGCCAACCTCTAGGGAGAGCTCGGCAGCCTAGACAATTCACCTGGAAGGTGAACCTCAGAGCAACGACCTGCCCGACCTGCCCGGTGTTTTGCAGGGAAGAAAGCAGGGTCTGGGTGTGGAGGAGCGCGCGGCTCACAGACCTGCAGGGCGGCCCACCTCCGCTCCCTGCAGCAGCCCCGGGGGACTGCGCTTCTGTGACCCCTTCCATGGGGAGGCTCCCCAACAAACTCGGGGGAGCGGGCGGAGGGCCAGATGGGCAGTCCCACCTCCTCCTCAGGAAGGCGTGCCATCAGGGCCGCTGGCAAAGAAAGGACATCCCCAACTCCACCCCCCCAGCAGGCTGCCACAGACGGGGCTCCCTGCCACCACCACAGGGCTTCTGGGTGCAAGACAGACCGAGAACCCGTACAGCCATCTGCCCAGAAAGAACAGAGCTGTGTCCACTCTCGCTGAGCCCCAACCTCTGGGGTTTCTGGACCCCTGACTTTAAAGCACAAACCCAAACAAGGAGTTACAGATGCCGGGCTCAGGACTGCACCCCTCCGGCTGGGCACGAGGCTGCATCTGGAAAGCCCAGAGCCCCCCCAACCCCCCGATGTCATCCGGTGCTTAGGAGACCAGTGCCACAGCCACAGATTGCTCTGGGCCCTGCCGGAAAGTCCAGATGCACACGGGTCACCCGTAACCGACTTCTCGAGGGCAGAACGCCCTCCCTTCCCCGGCTCTGCAGCCGGCCCCGGCCCGAGGGCACCGGGCACGGACGCCGCTCACCTCTGCAGCCTCCGCACCAGCTGGGCCACCATGGTGTCCGAGATGCCGGGGCAGGCCTCCTCCGCCAGGTAGATGGCCCCGCGCAGCTCCTCGATGGACCCCAGGTTGCCTCCGCACGCCTGGCTCTTCTCCTTCAGCTGCGAACACAAGACACAGGGCCGGCGTGAGTCTCCCGAGGATGAGAAACCACGGGCACCTGCAACGCGATGTGTGGCCCATGCCTGCTCCGGCTACAGGGCCCCGGTGGCCTCAGCCCGGACCCCTCCCCTCCGGGAGGCTGAGAGCTCCAGGCAGGCCCCGGTCTCTGCCTTCCCCGGGGGACGGGGCTTCTGTGCACCTCTTCATCCATGCCCTCTGCTTCCTTCTTCTGTTTCAGCCACCAGCAAAGCTGTCCCACGCCCACTCGGCTCTGCTCTGCCCCCGGAGCTGCAGCGCGGGCTGGGACCTCGGAGCTCCCGGGGTTAGCAGGCGGGTGGCTAAGGTCTTGGGGTGCTGCCAGAACACTCGACTTCATGGGACCAGTGAAAAGTGAGTGGAAGCCGCTCAGTTGTGTCTGACTCTCTGAGGGATGCAGTGGCCGCAATCAGGGGCCCTGCGGGGTGAGGCCCCTATTCTGGGGGCTCCCCAGGAAACCAGAGGACCCAAGGCAATCTGGTATCCCCTTAGAGTAAACATCTACTTTTCACATTGCCCTACCCAAGTCTGACAGAAGCAGAAAGACCAGGCTGCATCCAACCAGGTTCTACAGAAAGCAGCACTACTGAAGTTCAAGTCGCCCTGGTCCACACATGGACTGGGGCCAGGCTGCTGAAGTCCACGAGGATGCTGCCGGCAGCCCCATGGCGAGAGCTCCCAGGACGACGGGCTGGACAGAAGACAGCCCCAGCAAAGCACAAGGCCCTCCTGGAAGGCAGGGCCTGGCCCAGCCAGCCTCTGGGAGCACAGCCCACTGTCCGCCTGCTTGCACCGGCTGCCCCGACCCTGATTCCACGGGCAGCCCTGCCAGAAACATGAGCGCCTGCCCTCTTCTTCCCCTTGCGTGGTCCCCAACCATCCACTGGGCATCTTACCTCTGCAAAGAGCGGAGAAATAATCGTAGATAAACACTGAGAGAAAGGCCTCTTTGGGATGTCTTTCATCTTGGGAGGAAAGAAAAGGTAATGAGAAACGTTTTAACACCCACACTTGCCGGGGTTCACTGGACTCTGGGACACGTCCGCAGTGGTAGCTGCATAGGGCTGCCTCACCGTGTTTCACTCAACTACAGGGGACCGCAGATACCATTCCCCATGGAAAGGCACGGAGCGCCGTGGAGCGGCGTCCTCCGTGGACGCGGGCAGGACCGAAACTGCACCGCCAGGCCACGTGTGGAGAGGGCCTGGAGACCCTCATGCCAGAGCCGGCTGCTGCAAGGGGCTGTCACAGGACAGCGCTGCCTTTTTGCTCGTCTGCAGCCTCCATCTAAACATGTAATGACCCCTGCCCGCTTCTCGGAGCGGGACTCTAGGGTCGCCAGGGGACAACCACTGGTCCACTCTGCCGAGGAGAAACTACGCCTCTGTGCTTCAAAACGATCCCCCCAAAAACTACAGCTTTTCATAAATGCCAACAGGCACAAAACCAAGTCATCGAAAATCACATTTTACTTAAGTACCAACGTGTCAGTCGCTCGGTTGTGTCCGATGCTCTGCGACGGTAGCCCGTGGACGATGGTAGCCCGCCAGGCTCCTCTGTCCACGGGACTCTCCAGGCAAGAATACTGGAGTGGGTTGCCGTGCCCTCCTCCAGGGGATCTTTCCGACCCAGGGATCGAACCCGAGTCTCCTGCATTGACAGGCAGGTTCTTTACCACTGAGCCACCTGGGAAGCCCCTAAAAATATCTAGCAGACATTTAGAAACTTGTTCCTACATCTTCCCTCTCCTCTTCTTCTCTGGCCAGTTCTTACCTCACAGACTACTGTAGAGCCCCTGTTCCTTCCCTGTGCCCATCACACTGGTCTGGCACTCTGCTCCAGGAGGGCTGTTAGCCTGTGCTGTNGGCCAGAGAGAGCAGCGGCAGCACCGCGAGCCAGGCAAGCACCCAGACCCGCAGGCGGCCTCGCTGGGTAGTCAGACGAACAGAATCCCTTAATCTGTCGACTTCCTGACAGCAAAATTCCAACACAGGCGCCCCAGAGGGACCACGAGGCCCACGAGAACAGCAGGCTTCACTCCAGAGTGGCTCCGAAACGCCGCCAGTCCTGATGACGAGGGCTAGTCTCTCCACACGCGCAGACGTACCTTGTTTCTTTCCAGGTCTGACGGCTGGAGTGCTCCATTCTCCAGACTCTTTGGATCCTTCTCCCGGATCGTGAAGATCCAGTCCCCCGAGTCGCTGCCTCCGGAAGCCTGGCCATCCGTGTCCGTCTCCCTTAACACAGAAACCCAGGTGCGCCCGTGAGTGGGCACCAGCTCCATGGGGAGGGACTTTCAGGGGGGAGCCCCACACTCCATGCCTGATCCAGCCCCTCTGGGATTGCAGAAGCCCACCCTGCCCTCAACCTCCCAGAGGAGGGAGACCCTGTGGGCACATGGCTCCCATCACTTCCCACGGAGCAGCTGCACCACCGGCTCCATCCACCCCGACGTGGGCACGCAGCCCTGCCCGCTCAGCTCCCTCCCAGCCCGCAATCATGGGCTTGAACACGTCACCTCCACTCCTGCCTCCATCTCTTACCCTCTGCCCACCCCCAAAACCCACCCATACCTGCCCCCACCGTGGCCAAGACCCCGCCCCCGCCCGCCACTGGACAGGGGCCACCCCTCTGTCCTCCTGCTGTTGGGGGGCTCGGCAGCGGACTCTCCCACTCATCGGCCTCACCGGAGCCCCTGGCTCCGGGCGCCCAGACCTCCCCCCACCCGAGTGGCCCGCTGGCTCTGCCTTCGCGCTGGTGTTCCCCAGGGCTTGGTCCTGGGCCTTGGCCCTTCCCCGCAGGAGTCCTCAGGGCTCCAGTGACCACTCACAGAGCGACACTCTAAGCCCGCATGGTCTGCCTATACCTCTCACCTCAAGGCCAAATCTCGCCGCTGCTCTAGACAGGACACATCCTCCTGGAGGCCCACACGTGCCCACGTCACAGCCGGCTCCCTGAGCCCTGGCCTCCCCAGACCAGCCTGTCTCCAGTGCCTCAGCTGACTCCTGACACTGCTTAAGCTGGACGCCGTCCCCCACCGTTACCCAGACCCAGCCATAAACGTCCAGAATCACCAACCCCCCTCCACCGCCCATCTCTTCATACCCCCGTCCCGACCACCGGCGTCGCTCAATGCCGTGACCTGAGCGACATCCTAGTCTGTGGGTCTCACCCCTGACCTTGCAGTGATCACCTGGGGGCCCTGAAAACACACTCTGGGTCTCCCCCAGTGGCCTGGCACGTGGACCTGGGCCGGGGAGTCAGCTTGCACTTCTAGCCGCAGTGTGAAGGGGCGCAGGCGAGGAGCTACCACCCCTGGGAGCACCTCCACCCCTGGGAGCACCTCCACCCCTGGGAGCACCTCCACCTGACCCTCCCTTCGCTGGCTCCCTTCTCTGATCACATCAGTGCAGCCGGCTCAGCTCTCCCCACCTCTAGGCACCCAAACGGCTCCCAGACCCAATTCACCTCTTCAACTAACAGATCTCTGAGATGCTCAACCTGACACCAGACTACAGGAAATACTTGGGGCGGAGCTTTTACAACACCAGGCACATACCGGCACGCAACACAGAATTGCCAATACCCTCACTTGCATCTTCTTAAAAAATTTTGTGTTGCTGTTTTTTTAAGAAGCCTGGCATGCTGCAGTCCACGGGGCTGCAAAGAGTTGGACGTGACTGAACAACTGAACTGAAAGATGTGTTTAAAGTCATTTCACCTGACCAGTATTTCGAAAAAAAAGAAACCAGGTCTAGCTCTTTGCTCAGATTCTGGACATGAATCTGAGCAAACTCCCGGAGATGGTGAAGGACAGGGAAGCCTGGAGTGCTGACTCCATGGAAATGCAAAGAGTCGGACACGACTGAGCGACTCAACAACAGCAACANGCTCCATCCCCCGCAAAAAACGAGAAGATAAATGTTCATTTAGATTCATCTAGAAGAAAAGAGCCAGGAGATAGCTTTTTCGTGGATGCTGAAAGGGCAAGTTCTCTTAGTCATCAGCCTTCCCGAGCTAGAAACGCTGGTTTCCCAGGCCTGCCTCTTTCCTCGTGATCGGGCTGAGGACTTCCTCCAGGCCTGGGCTCAGCACGGCCCCAACCAGTGAGTGTGCATTGAACTCAGCTGCTCACTTTGAGAATGGCAAATCACCTATAGGGCACAGGCCTCCCGAGAAACCATGCAGCCCCAACAGGAGCGGAGAGCAGGACGCACAAACCACACGAGTCAGACTGCATTCCCACTTGCACTGAATCACTGAAGCTTCCTGAATGAGAGCCAGGCGCGCTCCTCTGACTCAAGCCTGTGCAAAAGCCTGGGTCACTTCCGGTATTTCTCAGGCCCTGTCCACACGAGTGTGAAACTCCAAGCACCTCAGAAGAGCCCAGAGCCTCAGCCTCTCATCTTCCCTTTGGTACACTTGGGCTAGAGATGTGTGCACTAGGCTGGCAAGCAATACCAGAACTGTATCTGTAATGGGAGGAGATGCTCGGGCATGGGGAGGCATCTTCTTAGGGCTGGGAATAAACTCCTGGTAAGACGTTCAGAGCTCAAAGACATGAAGAACAGTGACCCCCATGGCACCTGATGAGTGGCGTATTCTGCATCCACAAGGGGCTCTTAGAAAATGCTGGCATTCCTCACTGAATTCCACCACCAAAACCTAGTATGGTATTAGAAACCCATAGTGCTCTCATTAAAACTAACCAATGGACTGCAAGGAGATTAAACCAGTCAATCCCAAAGGAAATCAACTCTAAATATTCACTGGAAGGGCTGAAGCTCCAATACTTTGGCCACCGGATATGAAGAGCCAACTTAATGAAAAAGACACTGATGCTAGGAAAGACGGAGGGCAGGAGGAGAAGGGGGCAACAGAGGATGAGATGCTTGGATGGCATCACCGACTCAATGGACACAAGTTTGAACAAACTCTGGGAGGTAGTGAAGGACAGGGAGGCACACTCTGATGCTGTCCATGGGGTCACAAAGAGTTGGACACGACTGAGCAGCTGGACCACAAAAGCGTATTTTTAGATAAGAGCTCTTTGTAGAGAGCCGGGGGGCGGGGGGGACACGAGCTCAGAAGTTTCAGCCTGACCTGTGGCTAACCCTGCTGGAGAATTCAGAAACCAAACAAGGACACACGGTGCTATATGCAACACCAAAATACACAGACAACTTGGAAAGAAATACCCTAATCGGAGCGAGAATGAGGCTGAAGCCATGGAGTTACCTCTGCCACAGGGCTCTGCCAGGATCAACTCAATAGCAGAGACAGGCAGAAGGAAGAGGGGAAAGCAAGGCGGAGCTACATTTGTATCTCATTCCTCTTTTCCTTCCTAACACATGCCAAGAAGAAACTGAAAACGTTTACTTTAAAGACTTATTTAGCCACTGTTTCCCAGGCCGGACTTTGCGGTTACGACAACAGCTAAAATTAACCCAACCTTCCACTATAAATATTAAAAATGTATGATTCCACATAGAATATTAAGGAGAACAGTCTTCAAGCTCAATGCAGTAGGAGACACCAGAAAATCTGAAAGACAATAAGTAGACTCTGAAGTCTTAAAAAGATAAAATAACAATAAAAAGCATTTGCACTTCAGAGAAATCAATCATATCCTTTTAGAAGAAGAAATGAGATCATGAAGACAGCTGAAAACAGAGAAGGAAGACAGGCCACTAAGATGCATCTAGACCCATCAGGTCCCCGTAGGGGGAGATGCCCGTTCCCAGGTCAAGACACTCACAAAGCTCGGCTCCTTGTTCAAACAGGCCTCCACGAACTCCTTGAGGGGTTTGCTATAGTTCCCTTCCAGCGTCGGGGGGTTGTTCTTTGGGATGAGGAATAGGACCTTCATGGGATGCAGCTCGGAATGCGGCGGCTCCCCCTTGGCAAGCTCGATGGCTGTGATGCCCAGGGACCAGATGTCCGCCTGCAACAGCAAGACACAGTTAGTCACACATTCGGAGGGGAGGCAGTTCAAAGAAACGTACTTCCTAGGAGGAAAAAAAAATCTCAATGTGCTTCTGAGGTCTTGAATAAGATACGCATTCTTAATTGAAAAAATTTGTTAAAGATAAAGCCTTTGGTGTAACTTCAAAAGAGGCAACACAGAGGAGGACATCTAATAACAACATCTCCTGCTTCGATGTGAAAACCAGCTCTGATGATTATGCCTCTTCCCTTTGCTGCTGGAGGTGGGAGATGTTCCACGTTCATTTAAGTCCCTGAGTCAACAGGTCAGGGAACCTGAGGCCAGTGGAGACGGCATGTCAGGGGACCACAGCACACTTGCAGCCACCACATCCAGCGATGCTTAGAAGCCAGCACGGCCCTTAAAGCCACACCAGGACGAAATGGGACCCCTGTTCCCTGGCAGCCAGGCCAGGAGCCTGGGCCCAACCCTCGGAACTTCCCTTTGGTTCCTCATAAATCAACCAGCTGCCAGGTGTGTGGCTCTTGACCTCTTGGTGCCCTGGGTCCCCACCTATCCCTCTCCCCCCCCGCCCGGCTTAGTTCAGAGCTGTCTTCTGTCCCTAGGGCTTCTGTGGGGGGCTCTGGAGTGGTCTTCCTGCCCGCAGGCTCCCCCTGCATACCTCTAACATCCTGCTGACTAACTTGGAAACCTTGCCTGGCACTTGAATAAATGGCAAGCAATTCAGCATTATGCAGTAAAAGTCATAAAAATACCCACACTTGTTAAAACCAACTAATTTCACTTCTAGGAATCAATCCTAAATAAATTTTATATTCAGAAAATGGTAAGGGATGCCTAAAATATTCAAAAGCAGCATTACTTATGCTAAAACCTTAGAAGAATGACTATCTTTCTATGGCACATTAACGTGACTGAAGTATCAAATATTCACCAATGACACTGATAGAGAATCAATTGAGTTTGTCTATTACGGTATCTAGGATTTATGACATCAGACTTAAAAATATGTCTGGATTTTAAAATAACAATTATGTGGGAGAGGGCAATCATTTTCCAAAGCAACTATGAGAGACCTGTTTTACCGCCATTTGGGAAATCAGCTATTAAGAGAAACAAACAGTGGTTTTCAGTAATGAGATTAAGTAAAAAAATCACAACTGAACTGCAGATATTTACTTGTGAACATATTTTCTTTCCGTATGTGGTTAGTTCTGGGTAGCACTCTCCTAAAAGTGACAACACAGAATTATCCATTATTGATGAGCAGTGGGGGTGCGGGGACCCAAGTGGGCACTGCTAGTGAAGAGCAACTCTCAAAATCCTTGCAGTAATACCAAGTAAAGTAAAAGTCACCTGGCTATCTCTCTGCAGACAAAATACAATTTAAGTGGCATTTAAAAATTTATGTATAGAAAATATTCTATGAAGAACCAACCACAAGAGGGGGACTTCCAGTGGTTAAGAATCCATGGGTCCCTTGCAGGGAGCATGGGTTCGATCTCTGGTCAGGGAACTAAGATACCACACAGTGTGCGGGGCAGCAAAAAAAAAA